CATGGTTGTGGAACACCTCAGCCTTACCCTGGTATTATCCTAACCTGATAACACTACACATCAAGTAAAGACACCTGTAGCGAATGCTTTACTTGACTCCACCTCTTACGTGTCAGGGAGTCCTGGTGGTGTAGTGGTGATGCGCTGGGCCCTTAATCTCAAGGTCAGCGGTTTGAAATCACTAGCTGCTCCTCCGAAGAGATGAGGTTCTCTACTCCCTGAAAGAGCCAGTCTTGGAATCTCGCAGGGGCAGTTCTAATCCTGTGCTACAGGGTTGCTATGAGTCAGAAATGACTGGAGGGCAGTGAGTTTGTTTACTTATTTTATTTGGGGGATTCTAAGTGTCAGGAGCCCCGGAGACACAGTGGGCTAAGCGTTGGACTGCTAACAACCAGGCTGGCAGTTCAAAACCACCAGCTGCTCTGGGGAGAAAGAAGAGGATGTCTGCTCCCTTAAAGATTTACAGCCTTAGAACCGGAGGCGGCTCTTTCTGGTGTGCTGCAGGACCACGATACGTGAGAACTGATGGCTGCCAGTGGGATTCTAAGTGTCTGCTATCAATCAGCCCCAGCAAGGGTGCAGCATATCTTTGTTTTGCTCAAATGTTTTCTCCCAGTGTTTGTTCAATGCCCTAGGACACTTTACATAGATGACCCGGGAAAAAGAGAGCTTCTCTTCATCTGAACCCCATTGTTTTGGGGTGCAGGACATGCAGACCATCATCCGGCTCCTTTTTATAGTTCTGAGGAACACAGGTCTAGGTGCAGCTCCTGGCACAGTAGGGGTGCCGCCCAAAGCCCCTCTGGATAAAGCTCCCTGAAATCCTGAGCTGGTGACGGCTGGGGCCAGGACACACTCGGTAACCCTTCACGATTCTACAGCACAATGACTACGGGCTTCTACAAACCACCACCAACACGACCCTGTTTCAGTGTTCCTTCCTATAATCCGATCTAGTTTGTGCAAAGGGCAACGGTACGATTTCCCTCTTATTCATCACTGCCGCCCCCAGACCTACCAACTACACCAACCACTTGTCACAGTATATGCATTTCTTACAAACAGGCTTCCTACACTTGCCGCAACGGGACAGCCTCCAAGCCACTAAGGCTTCAGCCCTAGAATGGACCGGAGCTGGGCAAACAAGGAAGGAAGCAGGCCATGGAGGCTAGTGTCCTTACATAGGCGGGAGTGTGTCTGAGGATCAGGATATCATTAGAAGGCCCTGAAATGCATCTATGCTAAGAATGTAGTGCCATTTCTCTCTGCGGCAAAAGGTGCCCTGATTACAATGGCACTTCTCTTGCCAAGAGAACTGCAGCTCAGAGTTGAGGTCCAGAAAGAAGGAGGGGAGAGACTGGGGGTTGCTTGGAGACCACCTGCCTTTCTTGCCCAGCCCACACTGGCTCTCTCTCCTTTTCCGTTCCAGGCCTGGTAGGGCTCAGGGCTGGGTGGTCCATGGGGAAAGGCCCCGGGTGTGTTTCTCAGGGGCACAGAGCAGGAACAGGCCAGGGTCTGTATTTGGCACTGGTCTCATCCAGTGTTTTGCTTCCAGCCTCTCGGTGGCTCTGCCTGTCTGAATCTGGAGTGCTGATTCACCTACTTAACGACGACAGAAGTTCAGAATGCCTGTCAGAGAAGTCAGTGAACCACAGAGAGCAGACAGCCGGGCTTTTAAAGAGTCCCTTGTTTTGACGGCCTCGTCCATTCCCTGTCTCCTCATTGCCTTCACGGCTCACCCTCGCTGTAATGTGCACCGGTCCGGGTATAAATAGGCCTGTGTGAGAGTGAAGGGTCCGGATGTAAAAAGGTTAAATCACCCTCCATCTATGGAAAACATTCCATTATCACTGCATTTTTTATTAAGGTAAAGATGCCTCCCTACTGGGCACAGAAAGCTATTTGCCCCGGCCATGTATAAATATTTTATGTCCATCCTTTGGCAAAAGGCCACTGTTAACATTCCAAGCTTATGATCTACAAGAAGGATGTGGGAAGAGGGGATTTGCTGTCTTTTCCCCAGAGGTGACTCCTGTGAGGCCGTGCCTGCCCCTCCTGCAGCCTCGGAGATACCGTCTCTGCCTATCATGCTAACCCCCAGGCTCACCCTGGGAGGCAGGCCTGCTCCAGTGTCCAGCATCCAGCATGAGATGAACCCATCATGACAAGTGGTCAAAACATCTGGCCTCTTTTTGAGAGATTAAACCAGGGGGTGGGGGGTGGGGTAGTTCTGTCCACCCTCTTAACCAACTAGATCGGACGGAATTGCCCACATGGGTAGCTGGCATAATTGATTTCCTCGGGCCCTTCTCCCATATCTGCTTGGTGTTCACCGCGTCACTGCAGTGCCAGGAACAGCCGGCATGAGCCTACTCCCCCAAAACTCCAAACGCACTGCCATCAGCTCAATTCTGACTCTCGGAGACCCTATAGACCAGCGCTGTCCCTCGGGTTTCCAAGACTTAACTCTTCATGTGAGGAGACTACAGAAACCGTACTGGCGCCCGTGGTCATATTGACCTGCAACTCCCTTGCAAACGTAAATGCTGCTCCATGGCTCCCGGATAATGGAGCCGTGCTGCCTCCCAATCATGCTGCAGCCAATCAGCTGACACGATCAGAGGAGCAAGCAAGACTGCACCCCCTGCCCCCACCCCACACCCCAGCTCCTTCGTGAGCCCGTCCTGCTGCGCATAGTGCCCCCTTCTTGCATTGGCAGGCTGGAGTTGGGAAGGACCTAAAGTTCCCTTCCCATAAAACAGATCAAATGGGAGGAAAGACTGGGATCCCAAGTTGTTTGTTGTGGGTGGGGAGCCAGCCGTCAGCCACAGTTCCTGGTCTCTTGTTTCATTATCCCCCCCCCCGCCCTCCCCTAAGTCTTTCAGGGCTATCCTACCCTTTTTGTGAGTGAGGGAAGAGAAGTTACGGAACTACAATAATTGGCTCATGATCGTGCAGAAGTGGGCCAAGGCCAAGCCATGGGATCGTGGTTCATTGAAGTCCACAGCCGACACCTGCCTACAACTCACACTTAGCTACTGAACGACTGTACTGAGGGGCCGCCCATGTCTCCCAGGTGAAGAGCAAGCGGGCAGGGGGCTGGTTTCTCGGACCACTGCCCTGCTGCTCTCGGCGCTGGTGTGCTGGGTGGACTCCTACTTGGGTCCCGGTGCGATGGCCCCAGCACTGACTTCTCTTTGAGGTCAAATCTGCCCAGATGCCGCGCCTCATTACATAGGCCAATCAGAGTGAAAGTGTGCGTGCTAGTGGATGCGTGGTGTACGAAGCCAGTGGGGTCACAGAGATTCCATTTGTGATGGCTCGTCCAAACGTGGGCAAATCTCGTGACATAACCTAGACACCCCTGCCTTCCCCCCCACCTCCCCCACAAAGCACACACTCGGTTCATCAAGTTCTAAAAACTTTGAAGCCTGGTTTCAAAGTCAGAGCTGGGGTTCCCTGTGGGAGCCCAACTCCTACTGTTTCTGGATCTGAGTGCCACTTCTGGGGTTTTCTCACCTTGCAGAACCCCACGGGGATGTATGTAGCCTGAAGAGCTATCACATTTCTACATGTGTGCTGGACTGCAATTGGAAGTCAATTTCAGAATGGGTTAAAGTGCGTTTAGCGGCACCTGTGACTTCCACCCGCTATCAATGGATGGTGTCCCAAGAGAGCTGGCTGTGAGGACCCACCTGGAATGGCTTCATTTTCTCTCCAACTGGCCCTCCCCGCCTCTAGCTCCTCACCCTGCCCAATCTGCAGGTCCACGGTGACACATCCCAGCACCCCCTTCTCCTCGCATCACCCGTCAGCACCACTGAGCACCATCGAGGGACCTTTATGGGTTATTGACTTCTTACCGGGTTTGCTGACACCAGGGCCTGAAGCCACCCAGGGTATAGAACCTGCCTGAGTGCTTACCAGTAGGTCTGTGTAAGATACGTGTTCCTACAAGTCGCACATGCCTGCTGCTCTTACAGCAATACGTTCATGAGAGATGCTGGTTGTCAGACCAGGGACTTGTGCTCAAAACGGAGGGCTAACTGTGCCGTTTCAGGTTTTGTGCCTTCAGAACGAAGGGTGCCGTCTGCTGGCATTTCAAAGGGTGTAAACGGTATAAGACTCAAGCTCCACAATGCTGTGTTGCCAACTGCCCCCACCCACTACCCCCGCCAGGAATTGCTGGGATTGACACATTTGGTGCTACGTTTCTCTTGCTCAGGAATCCTGCTGACTGGCAGTCCGCAGGAGCGGCACACATGCTGGCAAGTCGGCCTGCTCCCCAAATTACCTCCCAGCACTGACGCGCCCTGTGACTCCACTTGCCTTTGTGCTAACAGAACACCCTGTTCAGCTTGACACATTCCCGTCCCCCCTCTAACTTGGGGCCGATTTCCCCTCTGCCTCAGAAAGCTGACACCTATAGTGCTATTCCACGCTGCAACCCTCTCCCTCCCCCCACCCTCCCCGCCACAGGACAGCCCATTACAGGGGTGGGGATTGGGGAAGGGCAATTGGGTGCCACCAGACCCCAGAAGAGTGTGGTTCCCAACAGAGCTCACAGCAATGAGGCTGTTCTATTTATTCCTCTGCTGCCAGTCGCAAGGTGCTGCAACGTCAAACCATAATAGCATCTACAAACAATTTGCACTTTAGGGGCGGCATGATCCCTGGGGTCATTAACATGCCCAGGGAAATAATCTTTTTGAGAGCTTTTTAAAAGCAACACAGACCAAGGCCACCACGGAGGCCATCGGATCCATCCCATTCCTACTGTCATTTGGGAAGATACTCGGGTGGCTGCGGGAGGTTGACAGAGCACAGGTTCTGGGCTTTATGGAAAGTTCCTTAAGATGTCTTAATCAGAAATCAAACGCAGCGAGCGTGCTGATGAGCCGCCAGGCTTTCTGAAGGGAGCAGGCTCTGGAGAGGGGGCTGGGATTCTATGCGTTGGAAGCTGAGTTCCCAAGGGCACCCAAGGGCTCCGAATTCCATACCGTTCACCATCCCAAGGTAGAAGACCGCGTTCACCAGCACGCCTCCTTTCCGGAAGTGGTCACTCATGTGCTCCAGCCAGTTGGCGTCCAAACCGTTGACCGTCTGACCGTTCTTGGAAACTCGAAGCGGAATGGTGACGGGATAGTACTGCCGACACTTCTGCTGGCTCTTGGGCTTGTTGAACAGGGCAATGATCTCCATTTCTGTTGGCATTTGCAAAAGGGGGTGAGGGGTGGGGAGAGAAGAGGTCAAATGGTGGTCAACATCGGCCTCTTTGGGTGTGGTGGGATTTTTATTTTATTTTACTTATTTATTTTGCAGTGGGATTTCTAGAAGCCTGCAGAAACGAAATAGAAGGTAGGGTGATACCAGTGGTGCCAGTATCGGTTGCCTGCCAGTAACACTGTGCGTGTATGTCACAGTGGAGCTGGGTTCTATCAGGATATTAATGGCTGGTCTTTTTTTTTTAGACACCTTCGGGTGGACCCGAAGCTCCAACCTTGTGGTTAACAGACCAAAGAAATCCTCAATTCCAAGCAGCAGCTCTGAGTCAGAATGGACCCGATGGAACAGTGGCATGAACCTCAAAGGTGGGGGGACGTGGGCTTTCAACGTGGAATATAATGAACGGCTGCTCTCTGGGATTAATTGAGATCACTTGGGTGCTTGAGACAAGGGCCCAGTAGGTCCTTCGATACATTCGAATCAGGATGTGTTTTGGAAGTAAACGTAGATATATTTGGACAAAAGCTGAGCTTTAAAACAAAAAAAGAAGTGCACCGCGGCACATAGAAACAAAAACATCGCCCTACTGCCAGGAACCTTGACACCCCCGAATTTCACTATTAATAAACTGTAGTGGAGTTTCCTGAGGCTGAACCCATAATACTTCATCAAGCACATCAAAAATACATCATTGATAAGTAAAAATAAATATGTTCCCGTAAATGAGGGTTCCTGCCTGGGGTGGCAGGTCAGCTTTGAGCAGGGGTGGCAGCAGTGGGGGGTGGGGGGCACCGAGCTTCCCATGCCTTCATTTATAGCTCAGTCCTTCAGAAATCAATAACACTCCCCCCGCCCCCACCCCCACCAGCTGTTCCCCGCCTGGCAGACGTGCTCCCGGGCATGAGTTAGCAATATCAGCCTCCAGGAGCAAGAACCTGGGATTTCAATCTCAGTCAGATGGTCTATTTTTGAGTGACTCGTTGAGTCACTCAATCAGACCCATGGCCCAACTTAAGAAGCTTTGTTTGCACCAGCGAATCGGGAATAGGTTCTGGTTTCCGAAAGTATCTGTTTGCATAATAAGAAAATCTCCACCCTGCATTCAAAGAAAATTGGAAAGGTCATAAAGCATGGCTGACATTCGCCAAAAGGACAAAGCATGTGCATCCTCCCAGCACACACCCCTGGCTTTGGCCCACGTTCCAGGGGCTGCTTCCCATATTTCTGCATTTTGCATCACACCCCAGTATTAATATTTAAGTAGTTTTACTTCCATTGTTAGAAATATATGGAAGAGAACACTTCGCATATGACCGTCAAGGGAAACACTACCCTTTGCCAAACACAGGAGGCCGTAATGAAGCCCATCAGTACCACATAGGTGCGTCCACCTGCCATCGAGTGACCACATTCCACAGGCCCATCTGAGCAAGCAAGATCATTAAGCATTCTCTAGGAATCAACACCGGGCCATGAGATTTTGTCATCAGCGACAGTTAGACTATCAGGAAAGTCATTTCAACTATCTGGTAGCATAACGTGTTGGGTTGCTAATAGTCAGGTTAGCAGTTCGAAACCCCTAGCCGCTCCATGAGAGAAAGAAGAGGCTTTCTACTTCAGTAAAGTCTCAAAAACCCACAGGGGCAGTTCTACCCTGTCCCATAGGGTCACTGAGTCAGAAGCAGCTCCCTAGCAGTGAGGACACAAAGCCAGCCTAGAAGGGTGAGGTCAGTCTTCGAAATGGCCATCCCCACATCTTGCCTTTCACGTGACACCTGCCTAGTAGAAGAAGACACCTCCAGCCAGCAAATGTGTGCACACGGGGAATTAGGCCTTGGTGTATGGAGCTGGGCATCACTGGGCTATTTTGTAGGAACCCTGTTGGTGCTGTCTGGTAGGCTCACCTCAAGGTTGGTGGTTCAAACCCATCAGCTGCCGTTTAGGAGAAAGATGAGGCTGTTTGCTCCTATAAAGATTTACAGCTCTGAAGACCCTATATAGGGACACGATTGCCAGGAGTTGGAATTGACGACATTTAAAAAAATCGTTTTATTAGGGGCTCATACAACTCTTATCACAATCCATCCATACATCAATTGTGTAAAGCCCATTTGTACATGCATTGCCCTCCTCATTGTCAAAACATTTGCTCTCCACTTAAGCCCCTGGCATCAGGTCCTCCTCGATGACATTTTTTTAAAGACTATTTTGTAAGGTCCCTGTAGCACAGTGGGTTAATTGTCAGGCTCTGAACTGAAAGGTTGGCAGTTTGAACCCACCAGGAGGCAGTCTGCTGCCATGGAGATGTACAGTCTCTGATCAGAGCTGGAGGCAATGGGGGTCCGCTGTTGCCATGGTTAAGCGCTCTCTCTAATTGAAAGTCCGAGGTCTGATTCCTCCAGGTGCTCTTAAGAAGAAAACACCTTGCAATCTGCTCCCCGATTCCAGCCTGGGAAGCCGCATGGGGTAGTTCTGTCCTTTCCCATAGGGCTGCTGTGAGTCCAAACCAACTCAACAGCAAACCAGGAGAACCACGCTAGCTTATGACTTTGAAATCTCAAGCTTCAGAATGGAGTGATACAGAGGAAGTTCTGCCATGAAGGGGGTGGTCAAGGGCTGGATCTAGAGTTGGGGAGCAACACCTAGAGCAGGGGTCCTTAAACTTTTCAAACAGGGGGCCAGTTCACTGTCCCTCAGACCCGTTGGAGGGCCGGACTATAGTTTAAAAAAAAATGATGAACAAATTCCTATGCAAACTACACATATCTTATTTTGAAGTAAAAAAACAAAAGGGGGAAAAACATCCAGCGGGCCGGATAAATGTCCTTGGCGGGCTGCATGTGGCCCGTGGGCCGCAGTTTGAGGACCCCTGACCTAGAGGATCTAGCATCTTCTGGAGACTCTGTGGATGCTCAGGTGTATTCCAGTCCTGGGTGTCAGGGGTTCAAATAAAAGCTAGAGCTACTAAGCTCTGCTCGAGTGAGTCACTGTGTGAGAGAGCCACTCATGCCACCGGGATAGCTTCAAATGCAGACCCTGTGCTGTAAGCATCGTGTGTTGTGTGTGTGTGTTTTATGTGTGAAATGTTTCTAGGAACCAGAGGGAGCAGAGAAGTGGAATGTGGAAGGTGTAGAAGGCAATGAAGGGAGCATTCGTGAGCAGGGCAATTGGGGCTCAATCCCACTGAGGAATTGAGAGAGAGAGAGTGGGAGAGAGAGTTGAGAGCATGCTTCAGAGGGTCCTACCAAAGGGCAAGGGAGCTGTGGTGTTGACTACCAACTCTCCTGCTTGGGCTGGCTCCTGGGGCATGACTTTCCTGGGTCTTCTGGTCTGTGCCACTTGCTACGGAAGCTGTCCGCACAACTCGAACTGCCCACAGTACCCCGAGGTGAGTTAGGGTACCTGCCGCTAGCGCCTGCTACCCAGACCACTGCCAGTGAGCTGATCCAGGCACATAGAGACCCTTTACAGGGCTTCTGAGACCGTGCAGCAGAAAGCCTCATCTTTCTCCCAAGGAGTGGCTAGTGGGTTTGAATGGCCAATCTAGAATTAGTCAAACACCCACAAATTTATAAGAATAAAAAGGGGATTTTTAAAAAGTCACAGAGATATTCAAAACATGGCATTAAATCACACAGAAGGAACCCCTGCTCACATGGCATGAAAGAACACAACTGTCCCAAATACGCAAGGAAGCTGAGAAAGGGGAAGGCCAAAAGGGGAAGGAGCAGGCATGCTGGGGCGGCGGGCGAGCCTCCGACGGGAAAACAGGGCTCCCGGGATGGAGCACTACAGCCAGGGACAGACATACATTTTTCCAGGAACAGGAAATGCTGTTGCAATGCAGAGCCTCAAACGCCTTTGTAGCAATGAACTATCGGGAGAATCTTGCTTTCCGATGTATCACCCCTCCACAGGGAAGCCCTGGTCTCCAATAATGAGTGACCACGAGTTGGGCTGCTGCAAAGCCCAAGGTCAACAGTTAGAAACCCCCAGGTTCCCCCGAGGAGAACAATGAGGCTTGCTGCTCCCATCAAGATTTACAGCCTTGGAACCCCACAGGGGCAGTTCTCCTCTGCCTTTATGGCTGCTATGGGTCAGGATGCGACAGGATGGCGGTGAGTGAAAGCAGTCGACCCTGTAGTATGCGCCTCTGTCTCATGTCTCCTTGGCCACAATCCCTTCTCCACTCTCATGGAAACCAGCCAAGAGAAACGGCCCCAACGGATGCCCTTGGAATGTTTCCATTCTCTGGTTCTGCAGCAGACCTCTTCTCATGAGCTCCCAAGAGCAGCCCTCGGGGGCTCCAGAAAGAAGCCCCGTGGGTGCTTCCATCTCCTCAGCGGCTCCGTGACTCTGCCATGACCCAGTTGGAAGATGTTTCCAGACGCAGTAAAGTCCCAAAGGAGGGGGGGGGGCATTGTTTCTGAGGATGTTTGGGAAGCACTGGACAGCAGAGGACCCACGGAGCATGAAGCCCATCTCATCTTCCTATTGCTTCTTGCCTGGGTTGACTGGTACTCCTCTCAGCCCAGGAGCTTGCCTGCTTCCTAGGACACTTGTGGCTGCTGGCTTGGGGTGCTGTCGGGGCTCACTCTTGACTCCCAGCATCCCTGTCGGATGGGGTAGAATGGCCTCTGTTTGCGTGGTCATGGCCTCGATGGGAGCAGATGGATCACCAGGTCTGTCTCCTGCCCAGCTGCTGGGTGGGTTTGAATTGCCCACCTTTCAGTTGGCAGCCAAGTGATGAACACTGCACCACCGGGCTCCTGGTATCCAGTGGGGTCCCAGGGACGCGGTGGGTGCTGCACCATGCTTGCCTGGTCGGCATGGACAGGGGGAGGAAGCTGGAGGAGAATGAGGGGGCGTGTGGCTCTGAGGCTGGGCATGCTGCCTGCCAGCCTGTTCAGCTAACTCCTTGGGAGTGAGGAGTAGAGGGAGATGCCCAAGGGTAGGGATTTGGGCATAGTGTGTCCCC